TGCAGCGTGACCGTCTCCCCTAGGGGGTGATTTCTCACTATGTCTCTCTCTATGTCTGTCTCTGTCTGTCTGGCAAGTGCATGCGCCCTATAGTGAAAACCTCTCAAAAAAAAAAAAAAAAAAAAACCAGCATGGTATTGGCACAAAAACAGACATGTGGACCAATGGAACAGAACAGAGAATCCAATAATAAAACCCGAAACATACAGCCAACTGATTTTTAACAAAGGATACCAGTCAATCCAGTGGGAAAAGGAAAACCTCTTTAGAAAATAGTGCTGGAAAAACTGGGTATTCACCTGCAGAAAGATAAATCTGAACCCCTACCTCTCACCATTGACAAAAATCAACTCAAAGTGGATCAAAGATCTAAACCTAAGACCACAAACTATACAACTACTTATTGAAAACTCTGGGGAAACTCTGAGAGAAATTGCAGTAGGCAAAGACTTCTGAAATAAGAGTCCCAAAGCACAAAAATAGACAAGTGGGGTTACATCAGATTAAGAAGTTTCTGCACAGCGAAAGTGTGAATTGACAACCTTCAGCATGGGGGAATATTTTTGTAAACTATGTATCAGATAAGGGACTGATAACCAGAAAACACAGGGAACTCAAATGGCTTACCCTCCCCCAAAAGATGAACCCAATTAAAAGATGGGAAAATGAGCTGAAAAAAACACTCTCTAAGGAAGACATACAAACAGCCAAAAAGCATAAGAAAATATGCTCAACATCTTTCACCATAAAGGAGATGCAGATCAAAACCACAATGTGGTATCAACTAACCCCAGTCAGAATGACTGAGATTAAAAAAAAACAAAATGGTAAGTGCTGGTGGGGGCTGTGGTGAAAGGGGAACTCTCCTACACTGCTGGTGGAAATGTAAATTGGTCCAGCCACTGTGGAGAATATGGTGATTCCTCAAAGACCTACAAACAGAGCTACCATGTGATCCAACAATCCCAATCCTGGGTATCTCCCCTAAGGACAGGAGAATACTCAATTGGAAAAGTGCTTGCACATCTATGTTCATTGCAGCATTATTCATAACTGTTAAGACATGAACCAACTCAAATGTTCACAAAGAGATGAATGGACTGAAAAAGTGTGGTGCATATACTTACTCTATGAAATACTACTCAGCTATATAAAAAAAAAAACAAGACCCTGACTTTTGATAGAAAGTGGACAAATATGGAAGATTTACTGCTGAGTGAAGCAAGCCAGGCTATGAAGGAGAGACACTGTATGTCTCCACTTAATAATATATACTGACTGTCCACACTCAATGGCGGAAAACTGAAATATTAGAGGATATAGAAATATAGAAAATGATTATGGATACTGGATACAGTGTGGAAAGAGGGTGGGAGAAGGAGGAGAGTGTGAGGAAAGACATTAAGGAGAAAAATAGAGGCAAGACATTTATGGGACACAGAAATAAGATTATTATCTGTTACGATAACATGTAGAGTGTCCTCAACTGGACTGATGTAAAGTGTATTCATGTTGGAAAATTCACTTTACAAGCTAAGTGATGTATAGCAATTGAATGTGTGAAAGAAATTAAGATAAAATATATTGAAAAACATTTCATATAAATAAAAGAAAAAAGAAAATACATGTTTGCTGTGTTTTAAGAATGCTACATTTCATTTAAGTTGGAATCCAGTCAAAAGTAGTTACATAAATGTTTCATTGTTAAGCCAAAAAAAAAAAAAGTGCAGTATTTAAAACATTTTTAAAATTTTGGAACCTGGTTTTATTAGCAACTTTTCTATGACAGTATAAAAATGAATCTAACACATATTTTCCCTTGCTGTGACTAGAGCCTGAAATGAAATGTATTTCATCCTTCATCCTGAGATGACCAACACTATAATGAACTAGAAGTGAGGGCCATCATTGGTGTCTTCTGCTCAGAGCCTGAGGACATAACCAAAGATTCCACTCTTAATATTTCAAAGATAAATACAGTTTCTTATGTATGTATTTTTCCCTTCATTGTCATCTGACCTTAGTTACTTCAACTGCTTTTACCCCAGAGTTCATGGAGAAAGAAAAAAATTACCTAGTCCATGTAATCTATCTGACTGGCAATAATACACTCCTATAGGGATGGTGGTCTGAATTCCCAGCTTTATTTGTATTTTAAATCATGAGTGTGTTTCAATTACTTGCTATTCCCATTGCTATTGAAAATGAAAAACCTCCTTTCACAGCTTCTGGCCAACTCAGAACTGACCTTGGGCATAGCAGGGCATCGACATGAATATCAAAGATTACTTATCAAGTGCTGGGTTTATAATACACCACGGAGATTACAGTGTAGCTGTGCTGGTACAGAGAGAACATGACATTTAGGAGCCAAAAAACCCAAGTTCTGGGTCCTCTACTCAGTAGGCTTCAAGAACTTGGACCAGTTGTGTATCATTCCATATTCAGCTTTCTCTACAATTAGTGAATAACAATGATTATCACATCATGAGGGATTGTCAACATGAAATTAGATGATGGAATGTATGTGAAAAACACACTAGAAAATGTTAAAAAAAAAAAGAATTAGTAGAAGTATTCACTGCGGTGTTGTCACTGTAACTGATAGGATTACTGGATAATTCTTTGGGTTAACTGGCAGCTAGATTGCTGTCTAACAGGAGGGGCAGAGCTCAGCAGCCTGGCAGGCTCCACTTCCATTGAGCAAAATGGGCATTAAAGTCCCTAAAAATCCTGCTGCCTTATACTCTTTTCAAACAAACATATCCAAGTTTAAAGATGGTTTGCCAAAGAAACCCAGCTGTAAACGCTTCATGATACCTCTTAGGTCTCATGCTTCAGTGACCCCAGATCCAAATTAATCCAGCAGCAAATCAACACATCTGACCTTGAAGGTTCATTTTTAATATTATGAATAGGCTTTTGAGATTTTGTCATTTTAAAAGCCTTTTATTGAAAACTCAAATATAAAGGCCAGCAGGTGGCATGGTGATTGGGGCAGCGGGGACACATGGTTGACCACAGTTCAGGTCCCAGACCTGGTGGCTCGCTTTCTCACATTCTCTCTCTCTTTCTCCCTCCCTGCCTCCTTTTCTCTCTCTTTCTCTCTCTCTCTCTCTCTCTCTGGTCAAATAAATAATAACAACAAATAAAATTAATAAAATAATTCTTAAAAACTCTCAAATATTACAGCGTTTCATAGAATCTTGAAGTTAACTTTATGCAAAGTAAGGAAGCACTAGATTATTCAAAATTACATTAAAATTAACAAACTTTTTCATTTCAATTGAATATGTAAAAGACAACCATAAGGGGCTCAAATTTTACTGCTTCAGTCACTAAAAAAATGTGTCTCAAGGAGAAGATAGCACCACTAATACAACCCATAAGAACCACTATGCTTAACAGCAGCAGTATGAAAACAATCACTACTCAAAAGGCAGCTTCAAGATCAACTAAATCAATCTGAATACTTCTACTTCTTGTGAAATAAGCAAAATAAAATAAGTAAAAAGCAACTGGTTCATTTTCCCTGACAGCCTTTTTAAAAAGATATTTGTCAAATTGCCCCACAAAGTCTTTCCAAATTATGAAAAAAGCAGAAGGATATTACACTTGGACTAAATTTATGATAAATGAGAATGTTATTGATTGATTGATTTGTCTTTATTACTACTATTATTTTTAAACAGGGTCTAGCTCTGTCACAATCCTGCCTCAGCCTTCTGAGTAGTTGTGACTACAGTCGCATACCACTCACTATCTGTGGCTTTTAGGGTGCGCCAGGAATCAAACTCAGGGCTCCCATTTGGCCTCAGCCTGAGCTCACTATCATAGCTATGCCAAAATTTTATTTTGGCTGCTATATTAATTCTTAATAGTATTTAGGAGTCTTTGTATAATAAGTGCATTTATTTAGGCTGATTTAATAGAATTTAAAACTCCATGTGACTATTTTTGGCAAATATAAAGGGTTACAGTTAAAGTATTTTTTAAAACATAGTTGATTATAACTACATTTCAATTGACATGGATGTCTTATAAAATACTATCAATATAACCCCAAATTATCATATTCTTTTATTTGAAATGTATCTTTTCCTTTAAAATGTAATTTGTACATATAAAATTATCACATAAAATGTATAAATGAACTTCTTCCCATAGATTCAATCTAACAAAAATGACAGCTGTTTTATAAATCTTTCCTACATAAATATCACACCCTTGGTAAAATCAACAGTCTCTTCATGGTAAAAAAAATATAATATATGCTAAAATTAGAAAATGAAAGACTGCCTAATTTTCAATTTCAGAAAAGTGCTGCTTGAAATAAAGTGCCAAAAGAGAGAAATTATGTCTGTTTATATTTAGGATTTTTTTAAAGTCTATCACCATAAAGAGAATTCTGAAATGACATAAAAAACTTGAATAAAAACAACATTCATCTGCATGCCAGGATTTCCTTAAGGGACCACCATGTCTAGGGCAGCTTTCTCCTTTTCTCCAATTATCTACTGGGAGCAAATACATTTCTTTATTAAAAGTTTCAGTGTGTGTATTTGAAATAGAAGTAAAAAGAAAGAGCAGTCTTCAAGAACACATTATTTGTTGGCATTCTGCTACCTTGAAATCCCCTCTAATACTCTCTGACAGGTCAGAGACTATACGAGGACATAATAGGACACTGTTTCACAAAATGCATTATTATTCACATATTGTCTCCCAGATTGCCACAGATGAGCTTTTCCATTTCTAATTTAAAATACTGCTCTAAACAGTATTTAGGAGGGCTATGACTGCTCATTTCAATACATACTTGCCCTTCCTAATTGATCTTGGTAATTGAAGTGGCTCCATGAAGAACATTAATTCAGTAACTACGTTTACTTCGACATTTCTATTTGTGATCTCTTTTTTTGAGATACCTAGTTCATACTTTCTTATAAAGCAAGTTCAGATTTTAAAGCTTCAATAAAAAGGAATAACCCAAAACATACTTCTGTCACTGTGAAATTTCTTGCATGTTTTTACTGCAACAAAAATATCCTCTTTCTTCACTGGCTTTCCCTAAAAAACAAGAAAAAATATATATGACTCAGTGTTATCTTAACTTTGCACCCACGTTAGAGCTCACATGCTTTGGTTCACATTAACCAATGTTAGAGATATTACACCTATTTCCAGGCTAAAGTTTTAGGGGGAAAAAGAAACTATAGTTCAATGGACAAGGTAGCCTTTGAAGTCCAAGCTGTGCTGTGCACAGACCATGCATCATCTTAACAACTCTCTTTGGCTCTCGAAACTTCAGTCTGCTCATTTAGAAAATGGGAATAAGACCTACCATCAGGTTGCTATTATTACTATGATTGATTAAGCCCAATAGCAGGAGACCAATAAATGTTAGTTATCTCACCTTTTCCTCCTTCCAGCTAGTGAGAATTTTAACTAAGAGAAAAAAGCAGGAGGGATGTTTAGTGTAAAATAAGAGATGACTCCTTTTTAGGAGGCCAGGCCTTACTTTGATGTTGAAATGATCTTTATGGCCCTTTTACTGGCTTCCCAAGTTTTCCAAGAAGGATTACTTCACAAACCTGGGGCAGGGGATACTGGAGTGCAAGCTGATCATGCAGATGAAAGGGACAGTGGAAGGATTTGTTGACACCAAGGCCTTCAACTGCCTCATGGAGGGTATGTTCTGACTCTCTGATTACCTGTCTTGGGCCTAATAGTATCTGGTTATGACTTCTGCCTCATTTGGGGCTACTTCACAGTGACATCCAACACAGCTTTGTCATGTGGCTCAAAACACTGGAAGAAGCACTAAAGGGCAAGCAAGCATAAAGTTCAGAGAGACTGGTTTTCCTCCTGACAGACATTGCAGGTTCTCTCCCACTGTTGTACTATGTTTTGGGGGTGTGTGTATGCATACATTTATTTTTTAAATAGAACAGAATTCTGTGTGATTGACTTGAGAATAACAGGCAATGTTTGAAGTTGGTGAACACATTCTCCCTTATGAGATAAAACTCTTAACAACCTGGTGAGTTTCAGGGTCTTCAGGCTCACCCTGAGGACTGGACCACTGGTCTGCCATAACAAGTAAGTCCATTTTGAAAGTTCTGCAGTCTCAAGAAAGACCAAAGGTAGGTCACTTGCTGACACAGTATAGGGGATAGGCTTGTGGAAAAGGTCTGGGTGACAGAAAATGTTTGAAATTGCCTTTCTAGGAAATGAAATAGAAATCTTCATCTACACACACTAAATCATCAACGGAAAAAATGACTTGGCTCAACGATTCTAAGGAGCCAGGGCAGAGGGCTGGATGGTGGCAGAGTGGTAAAATGTGACATTCTGTGAGGTTGACCCACATTGGAAGGTTTCAAGGTTGTATCCAGAGACCTCCTTGATTACACCAGGCACTCACAGGTGCCCATGATCTGGAGTTCGCTAAGGCTGAGGGTGGATCGTGGTACAAAGACCCTCTTAGGGGCGCAGTCTCTCTGTCTCCTACTCACTCATAGAAAAAGGAACTTCAGGGAAAAAAAAAAAATTGTAGCCAACTACCTCAGAAGACAGGAGTGGGAGAGTACTGGCTGGTCATAACCCTACACGTTCCCTCCTAGCTCTGCAGTCTTGAGCAAGTACTTACCTTCTTACATGTAAGATGAGGTGACAGCAGGGCTAACCCAGTAGGGTTGTTATCACTAGAGACAGTTCTTACCTGGCACAGTCCAAATGTTGATTTTTTTTTTCCCTTTAGTATATAAAGTGTTAGGACAACATTATGCACAGCATGCAAATTTTCCTCAGAGATGCAAATTTCCCTCAAAGATGCAAGTTTTTCTTCTATTACTTACACAAAGTGGTAGGGAAAAATGGAATGAGGTAGCACAGTAGGAGTCCATGCCATCTGTACAAAACTCAGGCACTGGGGTAAGGGGTGGTCCCCCGCCTCGGTCCCAAATGTAGAGGGCAATCTGTCACAAGATGAAGAAGAAACTCAACTAACAGAAGTATAAGACAGTAGAAAATATCTCAATGGAGGATATACCTTCTACAGAAGGATTAAATTGACCCATACCAATGTGTCAATATTCTACTTTTTTTCCTTTCCTTTTCTTTGTTTTTTCCTCTTTTGCTAGAGAGTACATGCCCTTGCCAGGAAGAGAGAGAGAGAAGGAGAGAAAGCATCCTCTATGGGAATACCACAATCCCTTCTCCTCCATCTCTCCCTTTTCATGATTGTGGGCATGTATACACACATGCCTGGTATGTTTCTCAAGCTGCTAGGTCCAGGACTCAAACCATACACTCAGTCATTTGAGATCTCACTACCTTAACTAGTAGACCATGGAGCTGGCCTCAATTTGTTAATATTCAACATTATTCTTTTTCTTTAAAAAATGGTTAACTCCAGGTGAATTGATATAATCTGGTATTAAAATGAACAACTATCTGTGAATTTCTGACCTCTAGAAAATTCCAAAATCATCTATAGTAATCTTAGGGAAGAAAACACTCTAAAGCACCACAAAGAGACCTAAGAAAATGGCATTGTGGCTCTGGTACCCTAGAGTAGGGGAGATTGTATATCCTGAATAACCAACTTGCTGAAAGCATCTAAAAGTGTTGGACCACATATCTCTAAAATCATTTTGTATGTATTGCTAAGCTGATACAAAGAATGAAAACTGTGAAGACAAAATGTGAAAGTAAGAAGTGGAAAAGGGACACCACGGGTTGTTTTCCCCTGTAGGGACTAGCTGACCCTTGGTAATGCTGAGTTTCTGATAGGAATAAAGAGAGTGGTGCCCCAACCCACCCGAGTGAGGAATAGCTAGCAGCAAACCCCCCACATAAACTGGGTCCTTAGAGCTAAAAGGAAAAAAGAAACAAAGACATGTGTTTAAAGAGACACATCTATACAGTGTATTCTGGATGAGAAATTGCATCTTGTATGCTGTGATGATGTTCAGTGAATGAATGCAAAATAAATAATTAATATAAAAAAGAGACACATCTAAAAAACAGGATATACAAAGATTGAAAGAAAAAGATGAAAAGCAGTTACCCAAAGAAAGCTAGGGTAGAAACACTCAGGTCAACAAAAACATTGGGAACCAGCAGTTAGCGTAATGGCTATGTCGCTGGACTCCCACGTAGCCGACCACGGTTTGCGTCTCGGACCCGGTGGCTTAAAACTCACGCCAGGCACATGTGCGTACGTGCCCAAGATCCCGAGAGGAGAATGGAGAAGAAGGGATTGCAGCGTGACCATCCCCCCTGGGGGGTGATTTCTCACTTTCTGTCTCTATGTCTCTCTCTGTCTGGCGAGCGCACGCACCCTATAGCGAAAACCTCTCCAAAAAAAAAAAAAAAAACGTTAAGACAAAGAACATCACTAGACATAAAGATATTCACTAGAAGATACAACAATTCTAAAATTGTATACACCAAATTAACAGAGCCTCAGAGCTTAAAAAGCAATGGTTGACAGTTCCACAAAAAGAAGTTGTCAAATACACATTATGGCAAACTTCCAAATTCTTCCCTTAGTAAACAATAAATCAAGCAGAAAAAAAAAAAAAGAAGAAGAAGTAGAATGAAAGAATGAAGCAATAAAGGGAGGAAATAAAAGAGCTAAAAAGCATAACTTATACCTTCTTCAATCTAACAAATAAAAAAAGAGTATTACAACCCCCCAAATAAAAGACTATATATACTCCCTTTCTCCATTTAGAAAAACTGGACATGAACCAGGCCATAAAGTGAGCCTAAAAATATTTCACAAGACTATTATACAGATTACAATAATACTAAGGTATAAATCAATAACGACAAAAGAGCACACTAATACAATGGGCCACAATAAAATACTTAATGTTTTTAAAGTGGGCCACGGTAAAAAAAAAAAAAAAAAAGTTGAAAAACCTCTGCGTTAGAGAAGCTCTAGCAGACAATCATCATGACACACATAAAATATTCATACAAGCAATGCCTGTAATACCAAAAACCAGCAGCAGTCCAGAAGCCCACTAACAAGAAAACAGAAGAATGAACTGTATGGTATGATCCTGCAAGAAACCACTGCAAAGGGAAAACACTCTCCTGTCTAGCAGGGCTGGAGGGAGGGAATGGCCCAAGACCCCCAGTGGATCTCAGTAACCACAGATAGTTCTGAGTTCCATATATCTTTATATTTTTTTTCCTATATACACACATACCCATTATAAAGTTTAATTTCCAAATTTAACATAGTAAGAGATTAACAACAGCAACAATAAAAACAATTATGACAATATACCAGAATTTAAATGATGTGAGTGTGGTCTTTCTCTCGCTCTCAAAATATCTTGTTGTGCTAAACTCACCTATTTTCAGTCTATGGTTGATTCTGAGTAACTAACAACACAGAAAACAAAACCACAGATGGGAGTGGGACTATAAAGTGAATCAGTGCTGCGTTCAACAAGGATGAGTCTCATATCAGAATGGTATTCATGGCACAACTGTGTCTACATAAAATCCAAAAAGATGCAAAACTACATGTTATTCAGAAATACATTTATATGTCATAAAATATGAAAAAAAAGTGAAAGAATTCAAGAGAGTGTTTTATCGAGGATGACCAAAGGGTACTATTGCTAGAGAGAAATGTACAGATAGCCTCAGGCAACTTGTTGTGTTTTCTCTCTCTTAAACCAGGTGGGTTACACAGGTATCTTATTTATTGATCTTTAAGCCTGTTATATATGGTAAAAATATTCTTTCATATGTTTAACAGTCTCCTGGACCTGGGCATCTATACTAGAACTGACTTTTCACTAAACATATCCAGACAGATTTTGGTTTTCAACAAGGCATTCTTTCTTTATTGTAGAAGAGAAGAATGATTTGTTTCCAAGTATATTTGAGGCCATTCCATGGACTGCTGATTAAGGTTTCTGGACCTCGCATGGCCAACTATGTGGTTCAAGTGCCAAACCAGGAGGGTCTGAAAATCACGCCAGGCACATGTGCATGCCTGGGATCCTCCGAACAGGGAGAAATGGAGGACTGCGTTGTGGCCACAATCCCACTGAAGGGGGTCCTTTCTTGCTTTCCCTTCTCTTTCTCTCTGTCTTTCTTCAATGAGCACATGTGCTCTCTGGAAAAATTTTCTTTAAAAAAGTATATTTTTCTTAAATAAGCTGTTTCATTTAAAAACACCCTAAAGGTTAAAATGTCTTGGGTATGCCTTTTTGCTCCTGGAATGCTACCAGCCACACTAGACTGAATCACCAGATTTACCTCTGTCCTGAGACACAGATTCATGTAGAGAATGAGAGGAGAGTCTGTTTCAGGTCGTCAGGCATGCCCATGAATGAAATGCAAAAAGGGACCTCCTGAATAATGATCTGTAGTCACTAATAATGGGGCATCTGCCACCAGCCTCTAGGATAATTGGTCACAGGTGTCCACTATATGGATCCAGGAGCCCTAGAGGCCTGACCCTGCTTAGGACCGGTTGGCTCAATTCTGCTCAGAGGGACAAGCACAGACAATGACAAAAGGCATATGTCTTAGTCTTGTTTGGGCTACTATAATACCATAGACTGAATGTTTTATTTATTTATTTATTTATTTTTTGGAGAGGTTTTCACCATAGGGCGCGTGTGCTCGCCAGACAGACAGAGAGAGACAGAGAGACAGAAAGCGAGAAATCACTCCCCAGAGGGGATGGTCACACTGCAATCCCTTCTCTTCCATTCTCTCAGGATCTTGGGCACACACGCACACGCGCCCGGCGTGAGTTTTAAGGCACCGGGTCCAGGACGCGAACCGTGGTCGACTAGGTGGGAGTCCAGTGACATAGCCATTATGCTAACTGCTGGTCCCAAGACTGGATGTTTTATAAACAACAGATATTTATATATGACAGTTTTGGAGGCTGGGAAGTCCAAGATTAAAACATCAGAAGATTTGGGTCTGGCAAGAGCCTGCTTTCCGATTCACAGATAGTTCCTTTTAGCTGTGCCCTCACATGGGAAAGGGCCAAGGGAGCTCTCAAGGGCCTCTTTTGTAAGGGCACTTATCCAATTCATGAGAATCTCACCCTCAGGACCTAATCACCTCCTGAAAATCACATCTCCCATGACTACAGAGAGAACCTTCACAAAGTCCATGGAAAAGTAGAATTAAAGTTGAGTTTTTGATGCAAAGAAAAATTTAAACCCATGAATAGTTTTCTCATAATATGCTTTCCCTGTGAATTTTTTAATATAATTTTTATTATTATTCATACATTATATATAATTTTTATTATTATCCATACATTAAATTGCTATACATCATTTAGATTGTGAAGAAACTTTACCTAGCAATGATATACACCTCAGTCCAGCCCAGTTGAGACCACCATACACATCCTCATCAACACAAAATAACCTTATCTGTTTCCCACAAGTGTCCTGTGAATTTTTTTAAAAGCCCCCCTCATCTGCATTTGGAGCAGGAGAGTGTACACCAAAGCACCAAGGAAGACCAGAGGTACTTTTCAGGATGTTTTTGCATATTTTTAGAAGCCCACCTCTGGACCCATCTCCCTAGCTTAAAACCAAAGAATTATAAATCTCAAATGCAATCTTTTTCATTACTCCCTCTCCACCTGCATAACCAAAATCAGCTTAAAATAGAAGGACCTAATTCACTAGAGTACCATGAAATTATCTCAGTGGGGAGAAGATGGATGTGGGTGGGGGAAATGTACAGTTGGGGAATACAAAACACTTTTTATATCAAAAGACATGAATTATTGATTTCTGAGATGTTTAACCAAACAAAACATGACATACCTCATGTTTTAAATCTATCGTAAAATCAGACTTCAGGGATTCAATCTTTAACCTCTTGGTAAGCCTAGAAAATAGAATCAAGTGGAGGGTTTTGATTTTTTTTTTTTTATTAACCAAAAGAAGTATGAAACAAGAACAACACATTATTGAGACTTTCTAATGTTTAAAAATGAATAAGAATTTACATTTTAAGATAAAAATATGAGTTTCCTTTCCTTGAGCAAAAGGACTGTAAAAATGCAATGCTTTATTGGCTGGTAAGTGATAGCAAGACCTGTTGCATGAACATCTGCCAACCTAATGTAAAATCCAATACAATGTGATACAACACAATAAAATGCCCTGAAAAATGAAGCCACAAGGTTTGACTCCTGATAATCCTTACACTAAATAATGACCGAGAAAGAAAATGTAAAGACAAAACACATGTATGACAGAGAAACAAATGTTGCTACTTTTTGTTTTTACTCTTACTAATGAATTACAGGATATGGGGCTTTTAGAGAAGAAAAGCACGTGGTTTCAGTGAAAAACAACAGTTTTATTTCAAGTCATTTTCTTTTTTAAATTATCATCTATGGCTCCTCTCTCATGAAAAATAAAGCACCAAACTCCTGAGTCAGCCTTGAGCATCCCACCATTCCCCCAACATCCGCAGGGTCTTGGTACCCATTTGCTTTGCCCAGAGCACATTCCTTCCCACTGTTCCTCCCTACTGTGCAGCTGCCTAATGTGCCTATACCCAACCTATACTGAGCAAACTTTTCTTATTCAAGACCAAATGCAAGGGCACCTTCTCTGGGAAACTTTGCCGGACTTTCTCACCAGAATAAGTGGAAAAATCCTTTGTTCCCAGAGTACAGTCCCTATTCATTTTACTGCATCCATTAAAATCTGTTGTGTGCACATCCCTCTCTGTACTACACTTTCTCCATATCACCAGCACCAATCTCTGTACCAGGCCAAACTGAGCCCAAAGAGCTCCCTGAATGATTAAGAAGAATATATTCTTTGATTCCAAGCTGACTGATGCAGAATCACAAACAAGATCTCTGAAATATCATATGATTCTATTGGGTCATGAGAAAAATCATGATGCATTTTTGCATAGAAAAATACATCATGACTGGGACCAGCAATTGGCATAATGGCTATCTCGCTGGAATCCTATGTCGTCAACCACGGTTCAAGTCCCGGACCCAGTGGCTTAAACTCACGCTGAGTGCATGTGCATGCGTGCCCAAGTACCTGAGAGGAGAATGGAGAAGAAGGGATTGTGGCGTGGCCATTCTCTATGGGGGGGTGGTGTGATTTATCACCTTCTGTCTCTCTATCTCTGTCTTTCTGGCACGTGCACGTGCCCTATAGCAAAAATCTCTCAAAAAAAAAAAAAAAAAAGAAAAGGAAAAGAAAATACATCATGACTTTTCTGACGACCCAATATATTTGTTTACAGAGCTGTAAATTAGACCATCAGCTTCAATTGCAAACCTCCTAATACATATTTTAGGTGCAAAAAAATAACAGTGATTGAAAAAGGAAAAATAGTAATAGGTTTCAAAAAAAAATTTAATTATTATTTATTTAATTTTATGTATTCATTCATTTATTTAATTTGATCAGAGAGAGGCACAGAGAGAGAGAGAGAGAAAGGGAGAAAGGAAGCCGCCAGGTCAGGAACTCGAACTGTGGTCGGCCATGTGGGAGTGTCCAGCATCTAAACCACCACACCACCTGCTGGTCCCTCAAAAAATTTTTACTGGGTTTTTAACTATATTTTAGTCTAGTTAAACCATGAAAGATTTCTTTAAAAATTCACTTCTGATTAGAAGATTAAAAAGCAGATGCAAGTGATAATTTATGTTTTGTTACAAAGCATTTGTTTCACAGTGGATGCTAATATACCTTGGTAGAAGGCAGAACCAAAAGGAGCCTCCTGTAATACCTGCTGCATTCTTGTTCAATATCTTTTCGTGGGCCTGTGGGGATGAATAGGTGAGGATTCGGAGAAACAACATTCCAGATATATATATCAGGGGAAAACAATCTTCCCTTAATTTGAATTCAGCTCAGTTGGAGCCAGTTTGCATAAAATAAACTGTATCAAGGTAACTTTCCAATTTGGACCCATGCCACAAGCCTTCAAAATCTGATCAGACTACAGAGAGTAAGTATTCATCTCATTCAGACTTCAAAGACAGACAAAGTCATACTGCAGCTTACTGCCACAGGCAAGGGACACAGAGATGTGATCAGAATCCAAGTAGCAGGTGCCATTCATGGTTAGAAGGCCATGTTTACACATTCCTTCTCAAAAGCCAATAAACAACTGTGAATTGTAACCTTAAATATCCTCTCCATTTTTTGACTTTTCATGTTCCTTTCTCACTTAATTCTTGATAAGTTTTCTTTGAGGGAAACCTCAGAGGGGGGAAAAGTAAAAACTACTGATAAATTTGCTTTGAAAGACAGAATGATTGATTAGAAAGAGGACAAATAAGTATGTGTACTGATTTTTCTTTTTTTTTTTTTTTTAGGAGCTCTTTCAAACTGATGTCTTACATTTCTTTTTTATTTTATTTTATTTTATTTTACTTTAATTCTATTTAGCTGTCTCTGGCTGTCCTGGGAGTGTACCATAACCAAGTCATAGCAGTCACTTCAATATCATAAGTTTTTACTATGGATGAGTGGGTCTCACATGCCTCTTTAGGCCTGAGTTAGCCACCTTGCAAAGGCAATCCCTAACAGTAGTTAGAGTGCATTTTCTTTTGAATATTTATCTATCTATCTATCTACTTATTTGTTGTAATTTTCAAGTCACCAGGTCCGGGATTCAAGCCATAGACAACTATGTGGGAATCAAGCACCTTAACCACCATACCACCTATTGGCCTGCACATTATTTTTTTAATTGCCAGTGGGCATATACACTCATCATAGAGAGAAAGAGGGAGAATACACCCACACACACCAAGTGGGATATAATCATGCTGCAATTTCTTCTCCTCCATTTTGCCATCCTCTTGAGCTCCTGGGCATGAATACACATGTACCCAGCATGATTTTCAAGCCCCTAGCCAAGACTGAACAACCATCGGGCAGGTGGGATCTAGCTCCCTTAGCCACGAGGCTGGATATAGGGCCAGCCCAAGGGTATATTTTTCTATACACCAAGTATAGGGTATTTCAAATGCTAATTCCAGTAACCAACAATGAAAAAAAAAAAAGAAAATGAAGGCCAAAAATTCCAGTTACTTCAATAAAATGTTTCCTCATTAAATATTCATTTCCTGGAAAATATGTCATACAGTACTCAGCCTTCTTAATTTTTAAGCATTAAATCATGTCTCCAATAAAACAGTTCTAATGACACAACCATTAGGCAAGAGAAGTGCAAAAGATATAGGGTCCCTTTGAATTTATAACAGAAAAACTTTCTAACTGGTTCTTTTAGTTCCACTGTAAACAGTCAATAAAGCAAGATATTAAAGGAAATCTTCAATAAGGTTTGTTGGTAGAAAAGCAATGGTAAAAACAAGTAACAGTGTTATAAATAACACATAAACGAGAAATCATCTTACTGGAAATTAATGATAGTTAACAGTGTTCTGTAGTAGCACATTTTTTAAAAAATCATCTTATTGGGAACTAATGAGTTTTTCCAATAATGTATTGGGTCATTGGAAAAGTCATAACATGTTTTCTATGCAAAAATGCTTCATGACTTTTCCAACAACCCAATAATTTTGGTACTTGCTGCTACTGTTAGGTCATGTGGATAAATCACCAGGAAATACTGGGTAGTGTTAACCTAAAACTCACAGATGTGGGATTGCTCAACCAAATAATATTTTTGGTGGTAAACAGTCTCAGGAAAGTACATATCATGAAATATCTTTAAATAACTGGTTGTTATGGTGACTTGGGCAAAATGCAAACTTAAGAAATTATAAAGTATTAACCTATCTACACTGTAGGCCATAAAATCAAGGACTCCTTGACAAAGGGAATCAACATTCTTATAGTGGACATGGTTGGTTGCCTATACAATACAGAGCTTCCCCTTCCTTTTTCCTAAACAAATTCTGGTTTTAATTAATTATCAGACCCAACAATTAAGTGGGCTCCACAGTCAGAATCTGATTATTCTGGGCCAAAGCACTGTAATTTTCCAGCAACTGTTAATGATGTAAGGGTTGGTTCAGCTTGAAGTTGGCCCAACTATATTAAAGACAAGCATCTATCTTTCATGGTTGGTGGAAAGGTCCTCTACTGTAGGACACAAATAGGAAACATATAGCCTTTATTGTCTCAAAACCACAAAAGGAAGTAGATTTAGATCTAACTGGTGCTGTGTAATACAGGCAGGACAAACAGAGGGAACCTGAGTTCTCAATAACATTGTTGAACTCCTGTATCAACCAACCAACCATGGACTTCACTTTCAAGTATAGCAATATTTACTTGATGCAGTTTTGAGTTGTTTCCTGTTACTTACAACAGAAAGCATGCTAACTGATTTATTTCCTAATAATAGGGAGAAATAAAGTCAGCTCTGGGACTGAATAAAATCAACTGGGAAGATTCAATATTTTAAATGATGAGGCTAATGAACATTTTATAACTCCTTTAGTTCTCTTGAGTATTGGGTCATCGGAAAAGTCATGACATACTTTTCTATGCAAAATGCATCTTGATATATCAAAATGCATCTTGATATGGACACGCACAATATATATATATATTAGGATTTTGCCATAGGGCGCATGTGCTTGCCAGAGAGGAGGAAGCTAGAGACAGAGACAGGGAAAGTGAGAAATCACCCTCACAAGTGGAATAGCCATGCTGCAGTCCCTTTGCCTCCATTCTCCTCTTCAGATTTTGGTTGTGTGCACACATGTGCCCAACATGATTTTCAAGCCACTGGGACCAGGACTAGAACCACAGTCAGCCACATGGGAATCCAACCACCCTAATTACCTCACCACCTGTAGGCCCATATAATACCAACTTTTAAAGAATAGACACAAACTTCCTATTAGAAAATCATTTCAAAATATATCTTGATCACAGATAGTTGCTATACCAGATGGGTCATATCATTTTGTTTGGAGTCTTGTACACATCAAAAGCAAAAGAAATTGTGATGTAAAATAACAATTTTGAATTTGGAACTATGGTAGAGACTGAATTACTATTTCATTTTCTTTTTGTCAGGGTAAAGGGAGGGAGTTTGGGAGAAGATCATGGGTATTAACTAACTTAAAAACATGCTGCAAGTTGTTGGTCTTTGTTCAGTGTTGTGAAGAATGGATGGCAATGAATGCATAAGGTATCCGGTGCCTTGTTCCTCTATGTGTTGGAATTGGGAGAAATACTGAGAATTTTCTGATCTTTGTACAAAAGATTAATCTCTTGGTCCTAATTCTCTTAGTCATAGCTGTCCGTTACTATGTGTGAAAGTCTGCATCCTCCCGCAAGAACTGGTATGCTGAAACCTAACCACTGAAGGACCAGCAGATGGCATAATGGCTATGTTGCTGGATTCCCATGTAGTCAACCACAGTTTCAAGTCCTGGACCCAGCAGTTTAAAAATCATGCTGGGCCTTTCCGTCTGGCAGCAGTCATCTGGTAAGCCAAGATGGGCACGCACAAGTACATTCAGAAGCTGTGGCGGAAGAAGTAGTCCGATGTGATGTGGTTTCTTCTGCGGGTCCAGTGTTGGCAATACTGCCAGCTCTTGGTGTTGCACCAGGCTCCCCACCTCACCTGGCCAGACTAAATGCAAATACTGGGATACAAGGCGAAGTAAGGTTATGTCATATACAAGATTTGTGTGCATCAGGAGGCTGCTAACACCCAGTCCCCAAGGGTTAAACCTATGGCAAGCCTGTCCATCATGGTGTTAAGCAGCTCAAGTTTGCTCGAAGCCTCTCCAGTCTGTTGCAGAGGAGTGAGCTGGACACCACTGTGGATCTCGTAGAGTCCTGAATTCTTACTGGGTGGGTGAAGATTCCACATATAAATTCTTCGAGGTTATCCTCATTGATCCATTCCATAAAGCTAGCAGAAGAAACCCTGACAGCAGTGGATTACCAAACTAGTCCACAAGCACATGGAGTACCATGGGCTGACATCCTCAGGCCAAAAGAGCCAGGGCCTTGGAAAGGGCCACAAGTTCCACCACACTACTGGTGGTTCTCACCATGCAGTTCGGAGAAGGCACAATACTCTCCAGCTCCACCATTACAGCTAATCTAAGAAATGTTTGTAAAATTCATACCTAATAAACAATTTGGGACAGTCATGTCTGCTTAAGTGTTATTTGTCTGTCATACTAGTCTGCAGATTATTTCATGAATGCTTTGTCAAATTATAAAAGTTCCAAGTACAGTAATGTTTGAAAATTATAAATGATAGTGTATCTTGTTTCTAATAAGGAAAGGTTTTTGTCTGCTTTATCTTATTGTATGTTGGTGTTTAAAATGTGTGGTAAAGTAGGGGTAAAAATAAATTCTTTAAAACAGGGGGAAAAAAAACAACAAAAACAAAAAACTCATACTGGCTACGTGTGCCCAAAATCCTGAGAGGAGAATGGAAGAGAAGAGATTGTGGCATGGCCATCCCCAAAGGGAATTGATTTTTCACTTTCTGTCTCTCTGTCTCTCCAGTAAGCACACACATCCTATAGCAAAAATTTCTCTCTAAAAAAGAAAGAAAGAAATCTAACTCCTGAGATGATGTTACTAGAAGGCAGGGTCTTTGGGAGGTAATTATGTTATGAGCTGAAACCCTCATGATGGAATTAATGCCTTATAAAAGAAGTCCAAGAGAGATTCTTCACTGCTTTTATCATATGAGGACAGACCAAGAAGGCACATCAGTGAACCTAAAGCTGGCCCTCACCACATACCAAGTCTGCCAGCCTCTTGATCCTAGACTTCCCAACCTCCAGAACTGTGAGGAATAAATTTGTTATTTATAACCACCCAGTGTATGATATTTTGTTAACATCCCACACTAACTTAGATACCTTCTGTGATGAGGCCCTCGTTTCTCTCTCCACCTTCAGAAGAAAATATTGTCCAGCTTGACCAGAGAGAGAAATCTAAGATTCCTATGGTAGCTGAGCACATTGGCAACTTTCTTTCCTTGTCAACCTCCAAACACAAGAGGGCAAGAAATCATGAGCCTGTAGTCTCTTACAGGGCTGCCTTGCAGAATGAGGTAATCCATAACACTAAATCTCCCCTTAACAATGCTGACATCTTGGCTACTATGCAATCTGATACCCTAATTCACAAAGCCCCTGGCAGCCAGTCACATGGTGAGCGTAAGAGAGTTATGAGGTGTGCATTAGCTAGAACTACAGAACCTACCAGGGCTTTTGGTGTCTCTACTCATTATGAGCAGACCAAGCAGAGTTCATAGACCCAACAGGTTTTGCAGAATAGGAAATACTATAAGGCCAGTATGTTAGGCAATAAGAGTTGGGCCGACCTGTCCTACTAGAGGCCTGACCCATGTTTATATATGCGTACTTATGCACAGAATTAGCCATCAACTCTCAACCTCAGCATGTTACTGATTATTTTCTTACTGGTGATCAAAGTTATCCTGTGGCTAACTAGAACATTTTTAGCAATAAAAATGATACTTCCATGTGCACCATTTTCAGAGCACTTGTGCTGTCCCTCAGTCTCACAACTCATTATTTGCCTTATTTTGCAGGTGAGTAAGAGGAAGTACAGAAAGGCTGGGTGATTTATCTGAGGGAACTAGCAAGTGACAAAGCTGCAGCAAAAACCCTTAGACATCTCGCTCCCTGTCCAGGTCTTCCCACTCTACTACACACTGCCTCTGGCTGGAAAACTTTATTGGAGACCGTGGCTCTATCAGTTACAGTACTCAGAGAAATAAAAGTTGATCCACACAACAACAATAAAACAGTCTAATAAATTCTTACTTGTTTACAAGTGGAATACTAAGGGCCCAGCCAGCAGCAAAGTCAGGATATTTAAAGGCTGTAGGATTTTCAGAAAAGGCATAATGGTGAATAATTGTAGATT